GAGTGAAATGAAAAGTTGAGCGGTCGGAGTTCTTCATCGGTCGTTTGAGTTATTATTATTACATTTTTTTTCTCTCTGAATTCTTCTCACTGAAATTGTTACGTGATGCTATTAAAGAACTCGAATATTGAGAGAGTTGATGGTTTTTACCCTCCTCTCTCTACGCTTGCTTTAACTCGGTGAATGGTACCCTTGATGTCTTCATAACAGTTGTTATAAATGTCAAAACTTTTCCACTTATTTTTCTCTTTTGGAGGAGTTGTCGAAAGAAGCGATGTGAATGTATGGCTTGATTGCTGTTCCATGGTGGTCCAACCGCACGCTGACAATCGCAACCGTCAGCCGCGAAGATGGAGTTTTGTCGTGGCTGATGCAGTTTGAGATATCTCAATAAATCGATTCGAACAAGATTTAGTACGTTGCTACCGGTCATGAGAGCCCAGATAAGAAATGATAAACAAGAGCAACGGCCCTTCAGTGATTTTGCGAAATCACGCGAACTTTCGCAATTAATATAAAAAAATCACGAGAAAGATAACTTTTTACAGCCAAAAATTCCTGTCCTCATTAATTTTTACCGATTAATATTTTTGCATAGAACAACATTTAGTTTACTTTACTTATTCGTTAATAATTTATAAAAGTATTAATTAATAAATTAATACTTTATATAAGTGCCGGCTGCCTGGCTGGCGTGGATGGTTTATTACTGACCTTCTGCACCTTAGGTTACGGGCTCGACCCCGGCCCAAGTTGGTGGATTTTTATGATGCAGAAAATCGACAGTGGCCATGTCATATGATTATACGGCATGTAAAAGATCCCTAGAGTATCTGTTTGACTTGGAAGCTCTCGGCAAAATTAAATCCTAATATAGGTTCGCATCGTCATAACTCAGATGCCTCCCTCTAGGGAGGAAACTGGGAGTCAAAATTACCCGTGGCGATTGGTATCCGCCTATAGGGTGCCACTCTAAAAAGAGATAACAGCTTCCGGTGAATGTACCAGGTCTGCAATGTCAAAAACACCAATCCACAGACAAATTAGAAATTAAAAAAATATATAAAAGTTGTACTTATATGTATTATATTTGTATAAAATATGGCTTACCTTCGAAAAAATATAGAGCCTTTATATAAATGGATTCTATTTTACAGAAGTAATTTCATGTTATTCTATACATTATGCTCATTTTTTGTTAATCGATAGTGAAAATTTACCTGATTGTCAGCTATGAATAAAACTTTATACTGATATCATCCATATTTAAGTTCTATTCAAAGAGAACTTCTGGGTTTTCTTTATCGCCGTAATGAAATAATAAATATTTTTTTCATCTCCACTGAAATAGATGCTTCTTTCTTCCAACAATGACAAGAGCAATGAAATAAACTTAATGTTCGTAACAATGAAATTTAAAAAATATACTTAATTTTTTTTCAGTACTCCTTATATTATTAAAATATCTATAACCTAATAAATTAATAAAGTTAATTTAGTTGGTAATGAATATACAGGTAACTTTTATTACCTAATAGAAGACTAACTTATTATATTATAAATGAATTAAAATGGCTTTTTCTGAAATAAAATCGAAATCAATTGGGAGAAAGTTTTCAGATTTTTAAAATAAAATTGAATAAATATTTTTAAAAAAAATATCTACCTTTTTTTTCGTGAACGACTTTGTGATATTTCTAATATAATCGCGGTACGAACCATAACTGTAAACTAAAACTGTAAGAAATAGATTTGTTTCATTAATAAATATTGATATATTTCACAAAATTTCTCAAAGAATATCTACAACAAACTATTTGATGAGATTTTTGGAAGGCAGGCAGTTTTTAAAATTATACTAAATTAAAATATTACTTTAAAAATGGCTAGACACGAATAATGAAAAATAATAATTAGAATATTAAAACAATTTTGCTTGATTGCAATAATACAGCTTTAAATGATCATGCTTCACAAGATTCGAAGAAACTGTAAACAGTCTGATTTTCATCTACATACAGAATATTTCGAGAAATATTTACGTCAGCTTGTAATATTGGACACAATTACAAAGGATAGTACCTACAAGATAAAATTATTGGCCAGATATGTAAATATGAGGTATTATATTTCAGCAGGTGATAATGTATAAAGCAATTGTAGCTTTTTTTGTTGTAAAATAAATTATGGAGGAAGGAAAAGTTTAGTTGATTCGAGAGAAGTATCATTCTACAGTTTTTTTATTATTTTAAACTGAAGATAAATTACAGGAATAATGTATTCAACGTTTACAATTGTCACGGAAATGAAGCTCCATTTCTCTTTCTACTGTATTCAAATGTTTTATAGAATTTTGTTGAGGTCGAAACTCTCTTCAAGATAAAGGACACGAAAGACCTTTGCCTGCTTCAGAATAAGATAATGTGTTGTCCACATGAAAGAATGCCAATTTGATGACAATTGTTGCAGTAGCAAAATGACGCAGAAGGAATTTTACATGGAATATATAACATTTTTTTAATAAAGAACTGCATATGAAAAAAAAAAAAACCTAGCTCTAAAAAAAGTAACTAAGAATTCAAAATTTTTGAAAAAACAAACAAACATGTTCCACAAAATGAAAAGTTATCAGGTTTTGAGCGAATTTATAATTTTACTTTTCTAAATTAGAATGAGAAATTAGAGTGAAACTTTGCTTACGTAACCTATTAGTGAACAACTTGCAAACCTTATTCATGTATGTACTGCTACAGGTGAAATGGAAAGAAAAAATAATTCAATATATATTTTTTATATTGATAAATATCATCCAAACTTTAATCTTTGAAAAATTCATTTACTTAAAGCTGTTGACGTTACGGAAAAAATGAGTGTTTATTAACGCCGCTTTATGAAGCAACACACAAAGGTTATCAGCCGAAAGATCTTGTAATTTAAAAATTCGGTCAAAAATAACGAGGATGACACCTGAGCTGTGACCCTTGCCACATCAAGAGGACTTTGATCCACAACATATTTAACGTGTGTCGTTCCAGTCTACGCTGATGTTCTTCAGTGATACAGTGAGTAAGAGTAAAATTAACGTCGCACTATAAAGCTGCACGAGTTCTGTTGGTGACGAACCTCGTAATTTTGTACCAAGATCAAGTGGCGAGGATGGCACCTGAGCTGGCACCTCTCTCGTCTAACTTCCACACTAACGGACAGATGTTTGAACCTCGAATGATTGAACGTGCATCAGCACCCTCTCTCCTATACAATGCGGGTCTTCAGCGGTTCTTGTCTCGAACTCATGGTACACCAGTCACGAGACCGTGACTTTGACCACTAGGCTACCACGGCCACTCTTCAGTGAGATAAGGACTCGAACTCATGAGACACGGCACCCACTAGCTCGTGATCAACACGAGTCTAACTTAAACAAAATTATTGCGTTAAAAAAGTTATGATGAAAATGTTTTATTAATCGCTCACAGAAGAATAGTGATGTTTTATATTAAATTAGTCCATTCAAAGAATATTTAATTCGTAAATTCGTTGAGTTTAAGTTTTCGTAAAACCAAAGTATGTAACAGTTCATTTTTTTTTTAATCTTAAAAAAATACATTATATTATTTAAGTATTAAGATTTAAAAAAATTGTGATTTGGGCAGAAATTAATAATTTTTTGTTAAAAATATTTTTTGTTTACTCGATATATGCGTTACATTGTTCGCATGAACATATTTTTTGAGAGATGAAAAAACACCATTTATTCTTCAAATAAAAATTTTAAGAATATTATAATTTTTCTATCCTTTTCTTTTGTTTTCTCTAAAACGTATCCTGAAGATATTCCGATGGGCTTCTTTGGAAGAAGCGAAGTGCTCTTCAGAACATGGAACGCATAAAAGAAGAATGTTTTTAAGCAATTTTTCTTTCTTTTATCGTCTGCTTATCAACAAAAAGCCGTAATTATAGTCTTGCTGAAGTGCGAACACGCAGGTAGAAAAAATAATAATAAAAAAAATATTTTGGCAGCATTTTTTCGCTTCTTCATTTTTTTTTCCCATACGTTTTTGTTCTTCGCAAGAGTGGCAGGCAGACAGTATTCATTGTAAAAAAATGATTCTAAAATGGTGGGCTGCAATTATATATATATATATATATATATATATATATATATA